CCGTATCTCAGCTTAAAAAAGTGCTTATTGTTGAAAACTGAAACCAAACATGTTTTGGTTTTGTAATTAAATTTTATCTTGACAACTAAATACCTAAAAACCTTGTTGCTTCATGCAATAGCAATTATTAAATTTTAAAATATATTATTAGTGTCATGGTTCATGAAACCTGTGCCTACCCTGACCACTTTTCTTTTAAATGGAATTTCAGGCACACACTCAGTCTGGTAATAGCTTTGACAATCTTGTTCCATTTTCAAAATATCCATACAAGTAAGAATAATACTAAATCTGATGTATTTTGACCAAAAATTTAGCTAGCCTATGCTTCATTCCTTTTCTCCTAGTGATAGGTTATTTGATAGTTCATTTTTTTTACTTCCCCAGGGATTCTGACTGTGGGGATGACGAAATGTCTGAGTTAGCGAAGGAGGAGAAAAGGCGAAAGAAAATGGAAGCTGTCGCAGATGACCTATTTAATAATGATAAGGTGAGTCTAATACTCCTCCCATACCCCAGAGAGAGATCTGGTCCATACGTAATCTTGATTTTTGAGTATCTACCTTAACCTTTTACGTGTCCTGTTTCAGGCAAGGAAACGAGCCACAGCTGGTTCACGAGGCACTGTTGGTTCTCTTCGTAGCATTCTTTCTTCATGAAGGTAATGATGAAACTTGAAATTAGTGCAAAAATTTATAAAAATAATATCTAAACCATTAACATGACAAGGGTCTGATGTGATAAATGCTGGAAGTATAACACCACTTGGCATTACACAGATAAAAGAATAAAGATTTATTTTACAATTCCAACCAAGAACACAGAAGAAAATTGGTTCACTATTTAGCTAGGTCATTTATCCATTTTGATTGAGTATTCTTTCAGTTGCTTCTAGGCCTCATGCAACAAATAGATTTAAATGTGAATATTTGGTCAATCTGTCCTGGTTTCATTTCATAATATATTTGGTCTTTTGCTTTTTCCAAATGTGTGGCACTTGATTAAATAATAATATAGGAATGTTAGCAACACTCTTTTAAACACTCCCATAATATATTGTGCTACTGTGCCATTTTTTTCCTCTGAAGTGGGCATGATGGAATGCTATAGCAGAGATTTGTCCAAAGACGTGGCTTCAAAGATGCTGCTCACTTGATGACAGTTTCAACTGAAGGTTGAGTTTTTCACTTGTCTGGGTTTTGATCGAGAATGAAGTGAGATTATTGACCATATATGGTGACACTCTTCCTCTTATATTTGAGTGGGCTCTTGAAGGATCTATCTAGTGACCCTTGTTAGCATATGAAGTAAACCAAGAGTTGATATTTCAGAGAAGTGATATGATCATGTCTTTATCTTGGATAGTGAAACAATATCATGTGGTGTGTGTCGATATAAAACACATTTTACGAATGAAACTTTGTACGGAAATCCTAGACACTGTAAATCTTATTTATTCTCTCGACATACCATGTTGCTGCAACTTTCCTATTCTTTTGGTCCTGCTTACTGTAGAAGTGGGATTAGAAGAACTATATCTTACTTAAACGTCAAAAAAAGTTAGAATAATAATTCTGTCGAGTTTAACCACGAGGATTGTACGTATTTATTGAATTTGATTGAAATTTTATTTATGTTGTAAAATTTTTTCGCAGTTATTCAAACATCATAAGTTATCACACAAGTTAGTATATTTTATTCGCTTTTGTATTCATTAATACCAATACGTTTGATAAAAATAACTTCAATCGGACAATACCGCAATCCGATTTTAAAACGGTAAAGAATTGTGTTTAATGTTAAACCATTGTTCAAAGAATTCTTCTTTGAGCCAAGGAGATGAAAATCATTTGAGTGTAAGATCAACTATACGTCCTAAAACTGATCAGACCTTATATACCAGCGTTACCAATTTACGATTTATTTTATTTTTGTACAAAAACAAACAAAAAAATACATCCAATAAATTGTATGCTACTGTGTCATGTGGGTCCAGATCCAGTGAATAAAAGTTCAAAGACTTTCGTTATTGAACATGTAGATATCAATATATGCTATAAGTATAGTCTGCAAGAGAAGTGGCTGAACAACAAGAATTAAAATACAAGAACAGTAATATCTCGAAATGGTGATGGAAACAAAAGTCCATCAAAAGAGAAATCTCAATCAAGGAACACAAAGAAATAAAACAAATTAAATAGTAATAATGAAGCAATCAGCACGTTCTGGTAAGTATACTGAACATGCATATGTAGATCATAAAAATCACAGCCTTAACCTGAATTTACAACTACTGCTCTGAATTCTAATAGAACTATTAGCACTAAGGTTGTCCACCACAATATTGCACCTAACCCTGAACTTGATTGTGAACAGTGTCAACTTCCCAAATTTGATCCTCACAGGCTGATTGACCTTCAAATTGAGAGGCACATTTCCTGTGTCTTGCAGCTGCTGCTGAAGGCTAGTTTGCAGACCAGTAGCATCCTGTGTTTGACCAGTGAGAGGGATACTGAGCACTGTGGTGTTGCGGTGACCTTGGTAGAACTTTGGTAAAGACCCTTCACACAGTTTTGTGTCCTCATACCACGCACTTATATGGCTGCCACCTCTGTAGTATATTCCAATCTTCTTGTTAGGGTTTCTGGCAGTGATTGTCAAGTTGAAAGTGGCAGATAAACTGTTGTTCTCAGAGATATCAAACTGTGTGACTATAAGCTCATCCACAGAGTACTTTGGAACCTTTGGTCTGAACACAAGGTATAGTATCCCAACTGTAATGGCAATGGCCACAATCAGAATCACCAATATGCTTATCAACCAACAGAAAAACCTGCAGCAGCAGCTTCTTCTTTTCTTTGGTGGCCTGGGATGCATCACAGGAATGGTGCGTTGTGGAGGAGGTTGTTGTTGCTGTTGCTGTTGTTGTAGCACTACTCTCTCTGGATCACCTGCATCTGATTTAGACATGCTTCTTGGCACCAAAGGTGCTGAAGGGTGGTTTGGTGCTTCAACATCATAGACAGGATGAATTTTCTGAGGGTCTGCAGCCATCTTGATCTTTGGTTTAGGACAATCTCACAGAGAAGTTGTGTTTGAGGTTGTTTTGGTTGGTTTCTTTTATCTTTTGTTTGGAATCAATGTACTTATATATGTGTAGACAGAAGCAAAGGTTGACATAAACACGTTTTGAGGAAGTCTTATAAAGAAGAGTTTGAAGATTTGAAGCTTCCCAATGATGACTCCAATGGCCAAAAGTGTGACTTCTTTTTCATATCATATATTTCTTTCCTTCATAAAATTTGAATAGAAAATAGTGTTTGAAGAAATTACGTTTGATACTGTTCAAACGTGTAACTTCTTTCTTATATCATGTTAAGGTTAATATTCAATGTTTGTGTCTTTATAGAAATAAGATAATGCCGCCGAAGCTTCTTTCTTTAGTTTCTTGGTTTCTCATTTGCATGACGTAACTCTATCATGCTTTCTAGACCATTTTCCTTTAGTAGGTCAATTTCACAAATTTCCACCAGAAACTTCAACCTAAACGGCTACACGCAAAATCTGAGGGTATGCAACAAAAGAGAAAAGATTAAAAATTTTGAAAAAAAAATTAATTTCGTTTTTTTTTCTGAACTTTTGACATTTTTTTTATTGTCTTTAAAATACATTGATTTTAATATATTTTAAAATATTAAAATCAAAGTATATTTAAGGCAGAATAATAGCACTAAAATCTAAGGATCCAAATTAAAAAATTATAATAGTTATTTAAAATAAAAAGGTTGTTATAATATATTATTAAGTATGAATAGGTTGGTGACATTTTAAAAATTACCATGTGTAATAAATATCCTTTTATCTTAGAATTTTCTTCTATTGAAAGAAGATGGGATTAAAGTTCCACGAGCGGAATATAAAAATGTGCATAAATTGTTTAAAAATGATTTTATAGAAGTACCATCAGAACATTACTCTTTTAAGTTATTTATGCTGTAAAAGATAGTTGTTTGAAAAGAATAAACAGCGTGTTAAATCGGGCACACAATAAAAAATTGAACTCAAATAGGAAATTTGATTTTATTCAATTGTTACATATTAGTATATTGACATTTATTCTTCAAATGTATTTCTGAATAAAACCAAACATATTTGTTATCTTATCATTTAAAATAATGTTTTATTAGTCATTAAAAAGAATCAAAATGATTATAGGGTTCTTAGTTATTTTATTTTTTGTTCCACATTAAGATGAAGTGTAAGCTTTAAATTGAAAGCAGTAAGTGTCAATGACTCTAAAAATAAGGCATTTTTTTTTCTCTTTTGTGAGACTTTTATATCTTTGTATTCTCTTTCTATTAAAATATTGTCTCAAAAATTTAGCCACCTTAATAGTTTGGTGAGTAGGTTAGAAAACCCATATGGATGTAATAAATATTAAATGTTAGACAAAATTAGTATTAGATGATTTGTACAATAATAATTCTTTTATCGCAAAGAATAAATGTGACGTCATATAAATCATTCACAAATTATAGTACTGCAGAATTAGTTGATAATAATCTAAACATTTGACAATTAACAAATCAATCTTTTGTTTTCCTTGACTTGAACGAAAAGCTGAAATATTCCCCAAAAAGTCTTAAGTCACAACAATAAATGCATCATTTTTTTTGGTTAAAGGTAAAACGTTTCTATTGTTAACTCAAACAAATGATACGCGTCTGTTTCGAAAGACCAAGTCAAAGCCACGACTTTTAAATTCTAATTACTATTTCTATTAAAAGTTTATATTTGAGATCCAAGTACAGATCAATGTTACATCATTATCATCCCTACAAACAAAATCTTATCAACTCTTTGTAAAGTTACAGAACTCTAACTTTTTTATTTTTTATTAATAAAATAAAAAGTTAACCATGGTTTTTTTAATATAAATTAGTTTATTTTAGATTTTTTTTTATCTCAAATTTTGATGACTTTTATACTTCAAAAATGTATGTATGTAATTTTTTCATGGTGGTGTTAACTTTTTTTTACAAGACAAAAAACACAAGTTCAATGAAGAATGGCACAAATTGTTGATAAACAAGAAGAGGTAGTAAAATGGAAAAGATGAGAGATAAACTTGAATTGGCCTTGATGAAACAAGAAAAAACAGTTGCGAGTAAGCAACTCAAAACATAAGAAATGTCAACCTGGTTGAGTATCTAAGATGGAATTCATGCATCATCATAATCACACACACACACCCTTCTCAGAACCAATCCTGCCACGTCCAATGCCACTGCTGTGTTCATGATCACATTCTCTTCTTTTGCTATTCAAATTCTTCTTCTTCTTCACTTCAGAGGACAAATTGCATTGTCCCTCCTCTCTTGAGCTCAATCTTGAACTCCAGCAATCTGCTGAGTCAGCAGAGTTTGGTTCCCATGAAGAGCAAGAAATGCCCCCCCAGTGATGTTGGCCACTACTGCTCACAGTGAAGCTGTTGCTTCCTGAAGACTCTTGGTCATCCATGTCAACTACCCCACCACCCCTCTTCACTGTCACATACTTGTGCAAGCTTGGTTCCATCACATCATCACCAACAACTACCTCAGATTCCACAAAAGGCCCTTCCACTTTCTTTCCATAGTACTCGTTCCTAATAGACTGTTGAGTGGATGGACTTTTTCTGTCCTCAGGGAAAGCACCAGAGATATTTGAGCTGGTGGTGTAGCTCAGATCAGCAACAGCTTCAAGGATAGAGCAAGCCTTGGTTAGACAAGCTGGGAGAGATATAGAAGAAGGTTGCTGTGGTTGCTGAGGTTGTTGTTGTGGTGTGTTCTTTTGATGGAAGTTCTGGATGTCCTCAAGCAGTAGGGAGGCATAGGAATGTGTAGCATTCACATTCACCACAGCTTCAGGATTCATGTCTAGGTCTCTAGATCTTCTAGAAGATCTGCTTCGCGTTAAACCTTGGGGTTTAAGGTTGTCAACCCCTGATGAAACCACCGTTGTCTTCACAACAGCATTTTCTGCAGACACTTCCTCATGGTGCTCCTTTGTCTTGCAATTCACAAGCACACCCTTCTCCAGTGCAACTCTGCCATTTGGTTTCTGCAGTGGGAATGCCAAAATATCACCTTAATACAATCAATAACTGACGAGAACTACTGGTTTTTCCATGTAATTATCAGCTTTCCAAGTTAATCTAATTACACAATTAATTTAGGCTTTCTTAATTAACTAGGACATTTATTTAAACTTCCTTATTTAAATTAAATAAATGAATGACTAGGAAAGGTAATGATTACACTTTACAACTAATCATGAAAACAAATCAATATTCTCGTTAACCCGATGACATAAATGCTCAATCACTACAATAACACAATTCTTTCTGATTACCTGCATGACTTCTGCTTCAAACTTGGGCTTGTTTTGTTGCACCTTGATGTTGGTATCAACATCACTAAGAGGGTTTCTTCTGTAAGGAGATTGTTCTGCTTTCCTTGAGGAGTTATTACGGCTAAGAGAAGGTTGCTGCTGCTGCTGATTCTCACTCAACACTTTAGCACTTGCCACATTCCCATTAACTCTAGCAGGAGACTGAGCACGTGGTGATGCGGCACCCCTTGAGCCAACATCTCCAACATTTCTCTTAACAGTGACCCTCTTGGTGCCAGATTCTCCACCACAGTTGTTACTCTTATCCATAGCCAAAGATGAAACGGTGGCAGGAACGGACACCATTTTCCCAGGCCTAGAACTTGCATTTTTGTTGCTTGCATTTGCAGCAGTGTCAGATGATCTTCTACCAGGAGATCTACTCACTCTTCTTTCTTTGCCACTGGATTGGTCTCTTTCCCTACTTGGGGTTCTTCTCCTTCCCTGAGAACGCCTCGGGGACTGGCGGTGGCGGCGGCTCTCCGCCGCAACATCGTTCTCCTCACTACCACTGCCTTTGGCTCTCCTCTGTTCATCCTCAGCAGAAGTTGTGTCATTGTCACAGTTATCAAAATCAAAACTTCTCTTAGAGCCCGAGTACTTCCTACAAGAGCTACTTCTGCTGAGCCTCCCACACTGGATCAGAATTGCATCCACCTCCTCTTTAGTGCAGCTTGAAGTCCTCACTCCCACACCAATGTTCGGAGTGGAAGGCGCAATCTTGATATTAGCGATAGATTCTTCATTGGTGGAAGCCCCATCACCTTTTTGTGGTGCTGGTGACTGAGCAATGAAAGGTAGGGATTTGGAGGCTGTTGTTCTTTCCCTGTCATCATGGCTCTTCCTGTGTTTGATGATGAATACATCTTTCCTGACTTCACCTTCATGTTGTGGTGGTGATTCTGGGTCTTGTTTCTCTTGCAGTGTCTTCTTCTTGAGGCTCACTTCTGGCTCAATGGATTTGGACAAGGTGACACTGACACAGTTCTCAGAATGAGAAACTGGCTTGGATGAAGCAGAGGAGGACCCGTTCTTCTTGCTCAAACATGTACCCATAGAGGCTACAGAAACGGTGGTAAATGACAAACAGAGTGAGATAGAATTTGAAGAAGTGGAAGGAACAGGGGCACCCAATAAGAGAGAAAAAGGTGTTTAAGAAGATTTGAATTTCAATTAGATTAGATAAAGAAACAGAGCAGAACAAAGGTTGTGGCTCGTGGAAAGTGAACGTTGTCCAATAAACATTTTTTAAAAATTATACTGTTAGTATTAGCTTTAACAACGAGGGGAGAAAGAAAGAGGAAAAAAATTCAAATTTTGGGTGACGCAGATGACCCCACTGAGACAAAACCTTCAATTTGTTAACTTTTTTCTGAAATAACTAAATAATTTGAAAAAAAATTGAATCTTGGGTGCAGATGCCAGATGGGTATCTCCAAGGTAACATGTTGTGTTTGTCTTTCTCTCTCTCAGGATTCAAATTGGCATGATAACGGCTTAATTTGTTTGGCTAAAGAAACAGTGTAAACCTAGAAAGTTGAGAGATTTTTGCATCAAACGGTTAAAAACTGAGCAACGGCTATATTCCTTTGGATTGTTGTTGGTATTTGGGCCTTATACAAGAATGTTTACACTCACTCATATGTCTACCTCAATTTTATATACGACTTTTGTTTCAAAATTAACCCATAAAAAATGTA